GATTAAATCTATTAGAGGGCTATGAAGTCTTAGAGGTTCTAATTTAACCAAGAGTCTTTTATGTGGCACTTTATCAAAGGCTTTTCTAAGATCAAAATCAATAAGGACAACAGATAGATGGTCATTACGAAGAGAAGTAAGTAGATTGAGAAACGACAAATGACATGTTTCACAAGAGCGATCTGGTAAAAATCATGCTCGGAAGGGCTAATAACTTGATGGGCTATGCAAAAGTCGGAACTTTTTAAGGCGATAATTTTTTCAAAGGTGTTAGCGAGAGAAGGCGTTTTATGGACACCTCGATAGTTCTGAACGTCAGAACGATGGCCAGATTTAAATACTGGAACAATAATAAAAGTTTTCCAATGTTCAGGAAAGAAGCAATTTACGAGAAATACTGAAAAGAGTTTGTTAAGCAGAGCAGGAAAATCTCTTAGCTGTTTTCTAAGAGATTTAGGAATATCATGCGTAACTACTGAGTGTGGGTTAGTAAAATGGTTAATGGGTTCTTGAATAGTTTCAAGGGGAAAATAAATGATGTTGAGAGAGGCATCAGACAACGGAGGAAGTAAAAGATTTGGGTCGGTTTCAATGGTGAAATTTTGACGTCCTTTGTAATGAAAGTATCGTTGGTATTAAGCAAATGCGGAATGACTTGGTGGAATTTAGCAGATGATCTGTGACGGAAGATGTGAACAACTGATTTAGAGGCATTTACGCAATGAATATCTAAAGATCCTATTTTCGAAGCTAATCTAAATATTTCAACGATTCTTAGGTAAACTGATAATGAACTCACGGAAGGATATTCAAACTGCTTCTATTGCTTTTTAAGTCTGTTTTTAAGAAAGTGCTTGACAGAGGGGAAGTGGAACTCGATTTCAACGCTTTCCGTGGAATTAGGTCTCGAAGACCTTCTGTAAAGCATTACAATAAATTATTTAAAATATTTAGATCATTATTTGGACAAAAGTTGCTCCGAAAAATAGCACACGTAAGTGTCGGTGTGTACATTAGTTTGAGGAAAGAATCAACTACAGTTGGAATGAAGGATGTTAAGTTTGAAGGAAGAAGGCGCCTGCAGTTGGACCCGCTCTTCATCTATTAAAAGCAGACGAATCGGTTCTTAAACAGTTTCTTCTGGAAAATGTCATGTCATCTGCATCTTATAATAATACTTATAATAACAATAATTGCTTGATCACATTTGGGTCAAGTTACCCGCCCGACATACTGCAACGTCTGAATTCCACCAAATCTGATACAGTATGTTGACTGCCCAAGCAGTTGTATCTGCTGTCAGTTCACAGGCATTTTAAAAGAAAGATAAAGCACGGGTCGGGCTAACAGTGAAGAAAACTCTTGATGAGTAAATGCAGAGGATGGCGTTTTGTATAGTTAGGACGGTTCGGGAGAATAAAAACTGCTGCCAATTAAATGACGTCAGTCCAGAAAAAGATGGATAAAGCAGCATCGGATATTCCAGTCTCCATCCCATAACATGAAATCGGAACGGGACCAACCAGAGGCAGTGAAGAACCGTTTCTCCCTGTCGGCTGAGGAAATTGTCCGTTGTGAGACCGGACATGGAATCAGAGACCTAGAACTTCATCACTATGGCCAGTTAAAACGGTGGATTCAGCACCCAAAATGTGTGGGAGATTTTCGCAAATCAAAGACCAAGTAATAGTTATCTTAAACGCAGAATAATTCTGCAGACTTTTTGAATTCCTTGGTAATTGACCCCAAATTGCAATTGTGTTCATTGAAAAGAACGGACGATATTTAACGGAACGTTCGAGAGAAAGAAATAAACAGACCTCACAGTGACTATTACGTCGGGGTGTTCAGGATGTTTCAAAGTAGTAAGCGGGTTGAAAGTGCTATTGTTTAAAAGTTTATATAGTAAGAATTGTCCCTTTTTTAATTGGCGAAACAAAACAGGGTCGAGCTCCGTAAGCTCGGAGCGTTCTTGGTACATCAAATTTCGGCAATTGGAGGTTAAATCTTTCTTGGAAAAAATGTTCAACGGAATCTATTTTCTTCCGCTCAGCGGAACGCAGGGGGCTAAATAAAAACGAACAGTATTTTAGGCCAGGTCTGACGGAATTCTGTAATTGCGCATTCAAATATCACTAGTTTTAAAATTCCGGAGGATAAACCCGGTCGTTCTGCGTGCTTTGGAGACTATCAGGGCGCAGCGGACCGAAAGATCAAGAAGCCTGGAGTATGATGCGTCCTAATCCTTAATAACTTCGTGCACACTTATGTCGCGACCGTCAATAATTATTAAGGATTCGTATCGTCGTCAACTACCATGACTCAGTACCACATACAGGCAAGTCCCGCCTGACCCGCCTACTTACCTCTGCATGAAATTCGTTATACACTGCCACACACAGACCGTTCGTGTCTGCTTTTTATGCATTCAGAAGCGATTTTCTCCTCCTATAGTGTTAATCAAGTTTTACTCAGTTTGTTTATATGCTAGGAATTTTTTTCACGGTTTGCTCATCAATCTTCGGGACATAATACTTATTTAATAACTACGAATTAAGTATTGCATAGATGCTGTATACCTGTTCTAAAATTCTAAAATTCATTTAAAAGTTATTCTTACTTGTTATGAAAGGACTCCCACAGATCTTGAATAAAAATTCTAATTACTATTAATAACAATATTGTGGGATTTGAAATTTGGGGTTCATACGAGGTTAAATAGAGTATCATTGTGTGCCCTGCAGCTATAACCGCATTCCGGGAACTATTACTAGGCATTTCTGACCACACCGGTCATGTAACATACAAAGTCAAAAATTTAGTTGCTTAATTATTTTATTTTGTTTTACCAATGTAAAATCTGCCAAATAAAACGGTGTTTCTGGCTGGATCGCCTTTCCCCTAGGTAACTGTGCTTGCTGCCATGTTGTATCGAGGATGAAGGGTCTATAGCACTATATGAGTTTTTAGTATTTCTTGCGCTGGACGAAATAAAAATTTGTCTGAATGGTGATTGGCAAAGACACATAAACGAGTTGTTTAACAATCTCCTTTAGTTGCTAAGCCCGGTAATATAAATTAAGTCGACTTGGTCTCATGCCGACTGGTCTGTTTGTTTGCAGTTATGCCTAACCCGCATGTTTCGTCCGACCATCCTGATGGCGCCTGTGTGATGTGCACCTACAAGAAAAAGGGACGGTATCAATGGGGTCGTTCGTTACCTATGTTACTTTGCGCCCAGACAAATGAAGTCCCTAGGACAATTGTTCTAAGGTTTGGTGCTGTAAACCAAGCTAATCCACTTCTTTTATTGAACTCACCTATATGGCGATTTGTGTTGTTTGTAGTAGACCACGAAGTAGCACAATTCAGACTTGTAAAACCGGTGAAATAGCTCATGCTTTTGAGCGAGTTAGTAGGCATACCAGGATGAATTTGAAGCGATATGTTGGTGTGTCCTGGGGAGGTGTCATCTCAGCTCAATAATTTTGCGGTGTGCGACGCACAGTGAGCCCACTTGGGTTACGGCCTTGTCATCATGCTTTGACGTTAACGTTTTCCATCGTGGCCCCAGTGACTGGGTTCACGAAACGTCGGACTGACGCCCAGTGAGATGGCGTTTACCCAACCACTTCAGTGCCAAAAACGTTGACCTCACCTCGAATTAAAACTTCCTGATAAGCAACGTTGACGCGGCAACACGCTGGTCCGAAACGTGCTCGTAATGCCACTTCCTCGTTGACCTGATGGGTGTGAAGCATCTGCGTTTTTCACGGAGCAGATCACGTAGAGCGATTTTCAAAGATATTCCATAATCCCATTACTTATGCGATTAAAAGCGCCACGGGGTGTAGGATCTGACCTACTGGCAATTATGAGCGTTTAGAAGCTTCTTTCCGGACAGTAAATCTTGATTTGGAATCCACATACTGGAGTCAGAGACGGTTCTTATGCTCCGTATATTAATTTCCTCATTACACCAGCAATTCAGCAGATTTCCACTATGTCGTTGTTCATAATGTGAGTACTGCGCTTGAGTGACGTCCTACCCCTTTAAATTAACTTACCACCTCAAACACCGCCTCTATATTCGTCCCGGTACTCCTGCAGATTTATTCGACCTCATGAGCATTTTCATCAGCGTTTTACGTTCTAACTTCGCTCCTTCGCGTCCAAATAGCGACAACGCAGGGGCTGGTATGCGCATCATCATCTTGCGTCTACGACTGAAATAGTTCAATTTTTGGTTCTGTTTGTTAATTGCCGCCTGAGACTCGTAGTCGTACTTCAGCAGTGTTAGTTTGGCAACTTCGGTAACGACCTCGAATGACTGTGGCGATCTGACGACGGTCCTTTAGACCTTTTAACGGCTACAAAGATGAAGGGCTGCATCTCTCCGAGTAATTTTTTATCCCGTTCATCCCAATGGAAGTGACTCCATAGTTCTTGAAGTAGAATATCCCTTTTACATCGAAGATTCTAACATGTTGGGGCAGTTTACGTCTGGCAGCGTTGCGGCTGCAAAAGAGGTTTGTCTTCGTAAATTTAATTGGTTGGCAAAATAATTTACGAACCTTGTTGTGGTTGTACTGGTGGACTGTGGGATAATCGAAATGCCCTAGTTAATTTGGCTATCGGTCTAATGCTCAGCTTCTTTGAACGCGAGCCGCTGCCTCGAGCTTCTGAGACTTTGCAGTTTATGACTTGCTCTGAAGTGTCGGAAATGCACCTCAGCTCCTCTTTACTACAGACCCAAATGCCCTCACAAACTCTTAATGTTTTCACCGCGGTGGGATAACTGACTTTATTCTACGGAACACTTCAAAATGACAAAATACTAGCAGATACCTGTCCGCTACCGATTGTGTCATATCTCGTTAAGCATACCTTGCGAAGTAATTTTAATGTTTCAAGCAACGGCTTACACCTTATCTTTTAAACTCCTGTTACGTTAAGTGTTTGTTTCATTTATCGCTTTCGCACTTCACAGCTGACTGAGAATGCTTCCTACCTATTCGGAATCCGCTGATCCGAAAGGTGAGCTCGCCTCATCTGCTAATAGTCCTCTAGGCGAGTCGTCATCGAAACCCGGACTCGGACCCACAGAACTTTTTTCAGCCTTTTCTGCGTCGGTTAGTTTATGTGATTTTTCTAGGGATCTCTGGCATAGGTTTGGTCGGAAAGCAAGAAGCGTGCAGAAACAGCCTACAAAACATATGGACGAATTGATTTTCTGCGCCCTTACTTTGATATCGAGCCGAACGAGGTCCTTCAGCGTGTGGCCTCGTCTGTTGATCCGCGACCCGTTAAGTCTGCCGACTTAGTAGGTTTTATCCTTCATTAAAACCTAACTGAGTTATTTAGCTATTCAATGATCTCTACTCCCCCTTTATGGCATGTCTTACGCTCGTAGCTGTCTTGCTTTTCGAAATGAAACTGTCTGATGTTTATGTGGTATGTTGTATTTTGCACGTCCAGGCAAATTAAAAACTTTTAGCAACAGGGTACCCTAATGAGTTTGGCGATCATCACCTGTTTTGGATATTGGATCCTCACATCAGGAGCATTGAAACTGGCGGCGTTGTATGGGAAGTCTACACTAACATTCGTTCAAATTCTGTCTGCAGTAGTAAGTTTGCCAAACATCCCTTTGTTTAATTATAATATAGGACTACGAGTAACCTATAACGTTATTATTTTTTCAAGGGCTACGCTATGTGTTCTACCTGTGTCGTTCTCTTCGTCTGCTCAATTTTGCACCAACGTGCCTCCGAGACAATCTTCCTTATTTTCTGGACTCTAATCTGCGGATCAGCTGCCATAAAACTTGTAAGTCTTCTTAACAATTGACTGTTGGGTAATTCGTTAGGCCCCGTTTTTGGCCTTGTTACACATTGTTAGTTGTCTAAATCTTTGGCCGCGGTTGGAGCCCTTCCAAGAATTTTCTGACTGCTTTGTAAAATATGTCCTTGTCGCAAATGTCGTAGCCAAAATGATCATATGCCGCGTGCCGCTGGAACAGTTTTCCGGCTACCGGTGATTGTAAGATAAAGGGTTTGTGAGGGACGGAATGTGGTCACTAGCTAAAAAGTGCAGAGTAGCTGATGCAGAGCATGAGGTGTGCGCAAGTTTACGCGCCATCTCGGAAACCGACCAAATGCATCCACGGAAACGGATTAATAGTAAACTACCTCCGCTTAAATAAAAACACAAAAACAGTTCTGAAAGTGATATTACGACAGGAATAACAATATATCATTAAGAAAAGTTGAAGTATTTATATTGCTACAGTTCGGGTTAAACGAGTGAAATCAGTTTGCGGAGGTACGTAAAGCCTGCTTGTGAGAAAAACAGAGTAATTAAAGCGGCATAAGCACTTTGTTCCTTTCAAAACCTTCAAAATAAGATATTACTCGAAAGCGCTTGCTGAAGGAGTGGGTTTTCGGTCATTACTCATGCAAATAGCAGTTTGGGTCATATTTGCAGGCTTACCCAAACATAAAACTAACTGCCGATGAAGATAAACGTCTACAACAAATGCCTGCGATCTATTGGAAAACACTAATAAGTTGTCCCGTTTTCCAGAGTAAGAGGGGAAAAGTCGAAACGTCCAAGCTGCTTATGCAAAGCTGCTTTGGAAAGAATGCTGATACTTTTTCTGTCGCAGACGTAAAACTGACACTTTTCTTTATTTTGATGCAATTTCATCCTCTTTGCGTACATAAAGGCCTCATTCTGAAATTCAAAATGCACCAGGGTAGCAATATTAGTTTTAAAATGTAGATCAAACTGCTAGTGCTGTGCCCGTCCTATCCCTAAACAACATACTAGTAGAAATGATGACCTTACCGTATGCTGAAAATCTAAAATAACCGCTTAATTATGGGCCTTTTTGCTGCAATTTAAGCGACATTTACATATGCCAGCAAAATAAGGATACGCCAAAACAGAGGATTGCCTGTAGACCATATTACTGCATAAGTAAAGAAGACCGGTCGAGTACCAGAACAGCCTGTTTATTATTTTGATCAGGAGTTCATCGTCAGAGATCGTAGCAACAACAGAACGAACGACAATTATAGGGGGTGCTAGCCAATCACCGATCGATTGCGCAAGACTGGAGATGACGGCACAGGGCTCTGTACGTCGGCGCCAGATCGATAAATCAATCGAATGAGTTTTCACCCGAGGCCCAGGCTTCAATAAATTCTCGGCCTGTTTTGTTTCGGCGTACGCGATTATTTTGGGGTCTACAAAGTTAAACTCATGATCGATTTCATAGGTGTAAACAGCCGCACTGCCTTATGGGCGCATTTGCCAATCTTGACTTCTGAAGAATAATTAATTTCTGTTTTTCCGTGATAACGCGCTTATCCACTTCCTGGCTAAAAAGTCAGCTAGTAAATGTGCGAAGGTTGTCTTGATAAAGCATTTCCGCGCAGATGAAGGCCCCCCCTATTACCAAAACATGCATGGACGCAAGAATGTGGTCCGGGACCGTTATCGATATTATAAATTGTCCTTTAGATTTCCTCCAAATATTTAAGCTTAAAGCATTCTTCATGGAAAAGACCCTTCCCAGAGTGCGTTAGGCGAATCAATAAAATGCACCATGTCTGATCATGTAGACTTTTGTAAACATATCTCCAAAGTTTCGTCATACGCTCTATCTTTGCGTCCGCTAACACGGTCACTAACGGGTAAGCAGCAGCCACCATCCTAGTTTTTGGAGCAGCCTGTGATGTTCCTTAGAGTCCTTCGGCCATAGGAAAATAAATGCGAAATTGGTGGATTACCCTTGACTTTCTGTAAAGGCGATGATGTCCTCTGGGCGATTATTATCCCAATTGACATGTGTCATCCTTTTTATCAAGGGTTACCAGTCGACCGTGTCGTTAAAAGTGCCTTATAAACCGTCTGAGCGGAGTTGATTCTGGGTCGGCATTTGAGGGCCGTGAAATTCTTCCAGTTAGCTGTCCCACATTCTCATCAATGCCATTTAACAGCATAAAGCGCCTACTCTTGCGACTTACTTTCCCGGAGTCCCATGCAACCTACTAGGCACACCCGCTGCCTGACGTGCCGCCAGTTCTTTTTAATCATTCCACTTTTGCAGTCTGCGGAGCGTTATTTATCACCAACATCAGTAGGCCATCGAATTTCCACAACCACCGATTCCATACGTGTACCGTATTCCTCTGACTTGACTATTCATTTTCCGGCGCACCTCGCAAATCTCTTTGATATCGCTGACACGCTTGGCAACTGGAGAGGTGGTATTTTAAACCGCATAATCCAAAAGCGCTGCAGAAGACTGGCACACTTTGAACGCAAGGCTTTTTAGTGCTTTTGTCCGAGACAGTCTTCAGGGGCATTGGTTTGATGAACTTAAGAGATGAGTCTCCTCACACCCGACAGTTATATAGACGCTGTTGACAGTTGCGAAAGGGTCGGCAAAGAGAGGCCAAAGTGTTCAACGGTAACCAGCGTCGCCGCCATCACCACCACCACGAAGGGATCTGAGCAAAAGCGACTTGTTATGACAAAGGTTTCGATCACTGTTTCGGCTGTCGGTACGGCACGCGAACTAGCACCTCTGAATTAGATTCCTACCTGGTGTCTACCTACTTAATTTAGGTAGCTGAGTAAATTACTTAAACGACGGATAGGACTACTTGCATTCCCCGACTGCGGAACTCATTGGCGTGTCTGAGGTTATTAGAAAGGATTGATATCGTAAATACGACGCTAGCGCCGTCTGTGGTTGGATAAGCATACTCACTCAACGGTAGATGTTTTTGCGCGAAGCTAGCAGGCCTACTCACCAGCCCTGGTCGTACTGGAGATCGCTAGGTTCATGGCTACACGAGATAATCGTTTGGCGCGAATATAGAAAACCCGGATGTATACGTAGCCCGGCATGGCGTTGCTTGCTCCACAGGTTAGTTGGCGTACGGAGCAACCCACTGGAGATGCCTGCGACAACTTTTCCGCACAACCGAATGGCTGACTGACAGAAAGCTGACTGAAGACCGGATAATCAGCGGAAATGGTAAGGTAAAGCGTATGCAGAAACTGCAGGTCTCACCGTTTAGGGCTTAAAGCTGCTAATTGAAATAATAGAAGGAAATAAAAGAAGGACGATTGGATGTCGACGTTGGCGACGACCCGGAAGAGACAGTGAGCGTTCTCCCGCGACCTGATGAGTGGCTATAAAAAGGTCAACGGAAGACTAAAGGCTCACTGGTACTCGCCGTCTGATTTTGTTATCCATCAGCAGAAAATCGACCGATCTAGCAGGGGCTCATGACGAAAGTTGAAATGCTTGGGCACAACGACGGTCCTGACGCAGTTCACTGGAGTAGAAAGAAGTCTAGGGACGGAGTTGACGCAGTGGACGCCAGTGTTCCCCAAGGACTACGTACGGTTCTTCCGACGTTGTCGGCAATAGTGCCCACGATTTACAGCTCGGAGGCATTAATTGGATTAGCAGCAGACGACATAAGGGTAGGAAGAAGAACGTTTTCCAGCGACCTTTTTAGTGACAGCACGAAACTGGCTGGACTATGAAGCTCGGTGGAAGCGTTGTATAAGTGTAAGTAAAGGTAGCAGGGATCAACGCGGCCGACTAGACTCCGATCAGACGGAAGGAGCCGCTGTTAGCGGCAGCAGGCCTCATTTATTACTACTAATGCCATCCTATTTAAACAAAGTAAATAGGCTCTACACAGGAATGCAGTTTCGTGGGTACTTATTCCCAGGCCCAACCCAGCAGTCTAGTTCTTCACGCGGCTTCTTGTTTGACAGCATTCATACCCCGTCATGCCGCTGAAAAGTCGATTTTGTCCTCTGCGCTGAACAAGGCAAAGACGACGAAAGCGATGTTCCGGTGTTTTGTCACGTCTGACTTAGCCTGCGGCATGTGACTGCCATTCACAAAATCGTACACAGGACTTGTGAAGTCCGTTTTCCTCCCTATTTATGCGTTTTCTTGCCAATTTTAACCTATTCTAGCACGTACTCGATTTGGTGTTTAAAGTAAGGTATTATGCATATCTGTATAATTTTCCATTCTCTAGGCATCAACCTTATGGGCCTTCATTCCAGGAGAAAAGGAGCGCATCGTGGCGTCCGTTATGTCTGTCGTCCTGCACATGGGATTTGTCATGTATCTTCACTTTGCTTATCACCGGCTCGTAGAAGGTATTGGCTTTACGTTGTTAGCTCTGACTGACATCTCTTTATGCAGATTTGTCTGATGCAATTGGGGATAAGGTCGTGGATGCGAAATCAAATGACAGTCGTCATGGGCAGATCCCAGGTTAAGCTGGATACTGGACGACATTGGATGCCTTACTTGTGACACCCCATCCCTCCTTCTTCGCTAGAAGTGCCAGACAGAAAGGACTGACTGCATTTTCTACATCTTGCGTCCCCTTAATCTGTGCGTTGGATATCAGTTCGACGTGCCTCGTTACTTATTTGTGGTGAAATTTGTCTCTTGTTTCCTCTGGATGCATTCGTTTTTACCCGCAAATACATATTCATCTTCTTGCAATGTCTTTTATCTGCACGTCTTTCAGTTGCGTTCGCCCTTCAGCCTACCGTTTTTTCGTCTAGCTTGTCTAGGCTGATTAACACTTTGAATTAACATTATGATCTGGGCGGTCCATTTATTCTGAGCACCTTTAACGTAGAATGAATGAAAATGGTTCGGGATACTTCAAATTTAGACTCGACCAACTGACAGGTGATGCCGTATCGATCGGAGAACCGAACTCTAGCCAACACATCAGGATTGAAAAACGTCCGTTCAAGACAACCACTCAAAGATTGCACGTTTAGGTTTCCGCCTTTCGTATTTTTACCCAGCCTTGTTAAATGACATATCAAACTCAGGGCAACTAGTATTTTTCTTGAATTTTCAAATTACTTCTACACAGCCTTCTTTTTTTCAAGCGAAGTAATATGGCCACTGCGCTGCAGAACATCAGTGCACTCAAAATAACATTGCGATCGTCGCTGTCACTGGCACGACTTAAGTTTATTTGTCAAGGCGATGGCTTATTTCCCCAATCAGAGAGGATAATCTGTCCTGTGATTTGGAGGCCTGCAAAACCTGAGTGCTCCTCACGTCGTTTTACAGAATTTCACGTGCGGCTTCAAACCCAAAGGTACCCTAAGTGATTTGTCAGAGTTGTCTGTTTATCGCGCAAATAGTTTGGACAGCTATGCAGTTCATAACGTGCCATTATGAGTCAACATTGTTGACGTACTTGCTTGTTATCAGTAGGTGTGTTCAAATTAAGTTACATAATTCTCCCGCGTCGGTCAGGCTGGGGTGTAACGAATTCGACCTCGCTTTCGGGAACGTTGTTTGTTGTTGTCTTATCATCGCCATACCTCCTGAATATACTTACAGCTTACAGATGGACGACGGACTTAAGTAGTGTGCGAAGTCTCGCCTTGGCGGAAAGGGCTGGCAAGATGTCATCCGTGTTATCCCCCACATCCTCGTCAGCGACACACGCGAGTTTGAAAATGAACTGACACTATTTACGTAAAGGCTTTAGAGGCCATCGTTACCAAACCGGTGCAAGCCACATCATCCTCATTGGATTTTTTGCCGGATTCTACAGGTGAACCTTCATTCGTGACAGCGACAGCTGTACAGGATACCAGATAACTGTAGCTTCCGTCCACATCTCACAAATGCCTCTGAGACATCAAAGATTCAACACTTTGGCATAGAATGTGCTCAGGTAAGGGGTTCCCTGGGGCATCCCCTGAGGGAAAGCAGCCAAGAAAATTTTGCTCAGTGGTAGGGGGCGCTCACCGATCGTTCTTACGGAAATCACTCGTTCCGTTGTGTCTTACGGGCTCTCTCTGGAGCCCAACCAGCAGCCGCACAGCGGCGCACGATATAAACAGAATGGCATTACCGACAAAGACAAGGGAGACTGCTCAGTTTGTCGAAGGCACACGGCTCCTCTTAGCAGCGCATTCTTTATTACAGGCCTTGACCAACATGTCCGCCCTCCTGCTTTCCCGTCTTTTGTCACTTTTCATTGACATCCAAACTCATTGGTCTGGGTCAGCTGGGGGCATTTTGGCAAGCACCTTCGTGGGGATCGGCAACTGGTAGTGATCATGTTTACATTCCTCCTGGACCAGTATTACGTTGTTTTGGCCACTAAATTACGAGTCATCTGATGGCGACATGCAGTCATCGCAGTGGTCTGTTTCGCCTCATGTTCTCCCCAAATCTTCGGAAGGTTGTCCGAACCAGATGCTCATTCGACCGTGCGGCTCAAAAACCCCCCAAAACAGCGCCTTCTTTACCTGCTTGTTGTGATTTTCGAAACTGGCCCCTACTGACTGACGATGGAGGCTGAGTTTTCCTGTCGCTTATGCGAGTGCAGCAGATAAAGGTCATCGACCAGGCGACGGTGTACTATTCGGGTTACCTGACGGCTTAGTCTTGTCTGGATTGATGTCCGTAGAGGGTGATTGACGCTGGTCGTCGATAGAGGTCGCTGTAGGCATATTCATTCCGGAACTTGCTTGCATGGGGATCTCGAACACTCAAACACACGGACTTAAACAGATAATATCAGAACTGAATTGTCAACAATGGGACGTTTATTAAACAGTGGTCCGGGGGAGGTATGGGTCATGGGTTGTTGGTCAAAGGCTGAGGGGGGAAGACAACGGAGTGTGAAACCAGAAGCTGCGTGGAAGCCTTCCTCTGATTTATCCTTCCTTCGGTCGGGATGCTGGTACGCGTGGTTCCGCCGTCAGCGCGTCCGATTCGTGCTCCGTCACCGTGGCTTCAATGGTAGCAGAATGTCGCTCAGGGAGACGTTAACAAAGAAATCAAAACAAACCTGGGTTAGATCGCAGTTGGTAGCCAGGAATGGGGAGGCGGGCAGCCAGGCCCCTGTCGTACGGGATTAGTGGGAAAGGGGGATAAGGGTGGGGCAAATGGAAGGGGTGGTAGATGAATGCGGGAGTTTCTGGGTAAAAGTAAAGTTACGAGGGAAGGTGTTGGGAAGGTTTAAGTAGGTGGAATAATGGCAGAAAATTAAAACCTACACTTAAACCTCAAATCCAAACCTGACTGGAAACCCTAAAGCCCAACCCTAAGCCTCAAAACCGAAACGTAACCAAAATGCTAAAACCCAACGCTAACCTAAAACCTAGCCATAACCCTAACCCTAGCCTTGACCCCAATCCTAACCTTAACCCTAACCCCAACCTTAAGCCTAAACCTAACCTTAATCCTAACCCTAACCTTAAAGTTAACCGTAACCCTAACGGGAACCTAAACTCTAACACTGAGACCTGACCCTAAAACGCAAACCCTAGCCCTAGAACCTAACCTTCACCTAACCCTAACTCCCACTAAACCCAACAGCCTGACGAAAACGGGTGACCTACCTAATGCAGTAGAAGCACACCTACTGATAACAAGTTCCTTAGACAAGGTAAGCACACCTACTGATAACAAGTACGCACGTCGACAGTATCAACGTATAATGTCTGGCTACCAACCGCGATCTTACCCAAACCTGTAAAGTAAAAAAGCAGCCCACACGCGGGTTCTGCTGAGTTTTAAGTAGTGGCTCGGTTGAATTGCCACGAAACGTGCGCCTCGCCTCTCTGATTGCGAATGGGACGCACTCTTTTTGGCCTGACTTACAGCTCTAGTGTGGCGCGGGCGTTCTGTGTTTGCGCTGCCTCGTCTTTCTCGCCAACAAATCACTGGTATCTACTGGTGATCAGCCAAGTCCGATGCAGGGGTGCCCTTTTTGACCTAACTGACACCCAATCCATGCTTGACGCAGAGAGGGCGGACGCGCGCTTCTCGCACGTCTACCAACGTCCCTACTCTGCTTGATACATGCTTTACGGAGTACACTCCCCCTTCTACAGGCGTCTGTCGTCTGTCTGGGGTCTTGGTGATTGTGATGGATCCATGGCTTTAGCTGCAATCGTATTGTATGCCGCGGAGAGCTATGTATCACTGTTTTAAATATGCTAGGAAGTCTTGGAGCTGCATGTTTGGTAGTTATGATAAGAATGTCCTCGGAAGGGTAATGAAATGCACAGGTGTCTCTTGCTGCTAGGACAGTACTGTCAGACTTGTTATGCATATACGGCCAGAATTTCACGCAGCAAGAAGGGGGGCGGATCGGATCTCAACGATAAAAAGGAGCCATTGCAGCCTGAGTCAGTTCATCAGTTGACCACTGTATGCAGATACCGGGCTGACTACGAGGTCCGAGTTGAATTGTTAGTTGGCAACCCTCCAAGCCGCGGCTTATTGCTTGCCGTGATGGTCTCGAGCGCGTCAGACTGTCTATAGTGAGGGAAATGCGGCGAGAATCGGATCCATTCGCCCAATCCCTTCCCGCTCACCAGTCGACTGTTCGAGTCGGTCAACCAACTGATGCTGAGATGGGTATAAGTGGCTGGCAGAGCTAAGAATGACCCGCCTGCGCGTGCCCCCCATGCGCACACCAGGATTTTTACGAAGGACTAGGCTTCTCAGTAGAGGAGCCACCTGGAAAAGGCACCGACGAACGCACTCCTCACTTACAGTAGGTGGGCTACCTCATGAAATGTCAACCGAAATGCGTTTTCGTTTCGAATAAAGTAGTCAAGTAGGGTTGTAAGACTAGTCCGCCTGCAGCATAATTCTATAATATTTCAGTTACCACAGGTATCCGGCTTTCGAGCGAACTTCCTTCCGGCTGCATGCCAAAACCACACCCTGTAAAAAACGACTACTTAAGTTGCATGACTTTTACGCATTGATTTATAATGCCCTTAAAGATTCAATTATATTTCATGGAAAACAGGCATGCAAATTTTCATTCTTTTGCTCATTTGGTAGATAATTACGTCTTCTTCCAAGTTTATGCTCGAAAGAGGGACATAATTCGGTTTTAAAAAAGTTTCTGATTGTGGGACTTTTAAATACCGTGAAATGGTCGTTCATAAATCGTCATGTCTCTGCATTTACCAATGTGGCTTGTAAAGTTAACAATATGGGTCAAATCTACTGCTAAATTTTATGAACCCTATATGGTCCCCCTTTATTACCGAAGAGAGCTGTGTAGTTTTCCGTACGCGGAAAATATACGACTTGTAGGTTGGAGACCCTGAATCCAAGCGTAACGGTAGAGTGGGTTCAAAAAAATTCGAGAATTAGAAAAGTTTCTGAAAACTGAATTATACCCTTCACTCGGGTACAAGATTGGAAGAAGACGTAATTATCTACCGAATTAGCAAAAGAATGATTATTTTTATACATGTTTTCC